CCGTAATGGCAGGAAAGCCAACCCTGACCGCGGGTATTGAGATAACTGCTTTCATGAACGCCCAAATGCAGTCCCCGGGGTGCAACGCCTTAGACTTTTAATTTGGCATCAGCATTTGTGTGAATTTATTTTTATTTTATCAACATTTCTGTTTGGAAAATAAGCACAGTTATGCATTTTGAGGCTATGAATCATGCTGTGTGTGCGATTGAGATAATTGAGTATGGAGTAATATCGGGGGGTCTGATCTGACCAGTCAATGACGGGCTCAGACAGCCTGCTCCAGTTAAAGCTAATTAGGAGACACACACACAGACACACAGACACTGTGTGTGAGACCAACAGAGAACCGGATGACTCTGCTTAGGGCGCTGGTGTCAGGACAGTGTGTCTCTGAGTCTTCCCGCCTCTCTGATGGGAGCCAACTTAAATGTAACGGATCTAAGACCTGCCTGCCATTGCGCATGTAGCGGGTCATTTCCTCTTTGCAAGATCCGCCGTGTTTATTATTGTGTGTGTGTTTGGCAGACATGCATGACACCGGTTGAGGGGGAGAGCTGAGGTGTGCGTTCACGCAGTTATTGTCTTCAAGTGCTGCAAGGAAATCCTGTGCATCCCACCTTAAACCATTAGCATTTAGAATGAAACAACCGTCGGTTATGCTCAAGTGAACCTGACTAGACCCACTCACCTCTGGGGAAATTAGACCACCACGGAGCTTGCGCGCACACAAACGCACATTGTTCATCTTTTCATTCCTGCAGACTGGTGGGCATGGTTCCTGCTCTTATTTAACCCCCATTGTGCCTGTAATGCACACATAAATATGTATTACGCCCCTATATACATCCTCGGAAAACAGCCGCGAGCCGCCTCGCTCGCTAAAATTAACATTCCCTCCATGCACTCACACTTTTGCACAAAGTGAATGCACACACTGTAAGCACATGCCTGTGGTGGCCGGCAGCAGTTCATTTTAAGCCTTAACGGCCCCCCTTTTTGTCCACAAACACACACATCGCTGAACATCTCCAACTGGGATTTTTAAATGGTTTATCTGGTTTATGAGGGCCCGCCTGGTCCTGAAAGCCCCCCTTAGTGCGTTTGATAGCTTACCCTCCTCTCTTCTCTTCTTTGTGTGTTTGTGGACGTACTTGCTCGAGTGTGTGTGTGTGTGTGTGTGTGTGTGTGTGTGTGTGTGCGTGGGTATAAACTAACTTCTTGTTAGATTTACTGCTACAGAAGCCCCGGGTGCTGAGCTCCTCCGGGGGGTTAAGTCATTTGGAGGGAAGGAGGGGGGTCTTCTGCATGACTGATGCGTGCAGGCCTCCCTCCAGGCTACACAGATAGGAATGACACTGCCGCATGCATGAGCCCACACGCATGACCGAGTGGTGCGCGAGTGCTGCTTTGATTGCATACACCCCTCCTCCCTGTAGCATCCTCTCGTCTTCATCTCCTTAACCCCTGTTTATTTCGGGCGGAATCGGCTTATGTTATCTGTCTGAAAAGGTGGAAGTTCTAGTAAATGCAGGTGGGACGACCTTTTAATATCGACGTTTTTCTATTGCTGAAAGTGCAATACAAAACCAAGGAAATACCTTTTTTTTTCTTTCGTTTGTGGAATATAATATTATATATATACTTTTTTTTTTTGTCCAACGAGTTGAAGTAAGACAATTTCGTTAATAACATGTTTAAATGTCTTGATTTTGAAAAGCCCCCTGATTCAGACCGACATATTCAATCGAACAGTTAATTGAATAGCCTCACAATCAGTCCAGATTGCCCTCAGACAAACACGATTACTCGCACCAGTAATGACGGTCCCCTCGCAATACGGCTACGTCATTTCAGTTAGCATCTCCCTCTGGACCCAAACAACCCCCAATTAGATCCTGCCCCCCCCCCCAGCTACTGAACATCCCCCCCTCCTCTCCTCCTGCACCTCCCCCACCCTCAATTGCTCCATCCCTCCATCCATCCTCCCCTCTGCCTCCCCAGTGGACTACCTCACCCCCCAGGCATGGCAGCTGTGTTCTCCTGTAGGCATTACATCACTGCAAGAGCAGCTTCGTTACTAATCCCCTGACAACGAGCACTATCAACATACACACACACGTTTGGGCACATGCTTGTGTTTATGCATTTTAGAGAGAGTAACTGTCCTAACCCCCCCACCGCCCCCACCCCCTCCAGCAATGTCGTTCCTTGTCCTCCTCTCACCTTGCTCCATTCATCCTCTTCCCACCTGGTCTCGACACATGGTTGCACAAAAAAAGCACACACACACACACACACGGATGAACTCCCACACACATTAGCTCCTCACCCTAACCTGCCCTATCCGGAGGATGACGTCTCTCTTGTGATATCCTGACAGATGAGCCGTGGTGTCGGATGACGCTCCTGTCGCTGCCTGTCTTGGCGGGGAGGGAAGGGTGTCCGGGCGCTATCAAATTAAAAATACTTATGCTACAATGTTCGTACTGTAGGTTTTTGTAAATCTACATAGACTTTTCTTTGAGATATTATTGTGTGCAAAGCACACACAGAATAGAAAATAGGGGTAAAACCAGGTGTGAATAAAATAAAATATATGACAAAATATAATAAGTTACTGCTTTACAAAACACATGATGTTAAGTAAATATTGAATATATATACTAATTTAAGTGTAAAATAGTGAAGATGATGGACCTACTTGCACACCTGTACGTTTGCGGGGCCGTTACCTTATGTTACCTCATGTGATAAACCTTCACAAACATAAAGCTAGATTAGAATGGGGGGATCGAAGCATAAATATTTCCTCTCCCTCTCGTCTGTTAATCCAGCATCAAGCAGTCCGGGTGCAGCGGGGCTGCGCCATGTTGTTCTGGTCTTGGGGGGCCCCTTCGGCCTTCACACACCTTCTCTCTTTCTGTCTGACGCTGCTATCTCATACTCATCTCCCTGTCTGTTGTGGCTAACCTCTGTGTAAACTGCACGTTGCCCCGGTAACTCTACCATAAAAGCTCGCTCTAAATCTAAGAGATGTCAGTGGAGGGATGCAGGGGGGGGCTACGGGTCGCCCGGAGTGACCGTCCCCACCTATTTCTGTCGCTGCAGGGCACACATGTGCAGTCAATAAAAAAGGGCCTGGGTGTCATTAATAGCGCCTTGGCTGTAATCCTCTCATTAACACGCCTACTATTCTGAGCCTTGTTATCCAGACCAGAGGAGGAGGGCATGCCGTTTGCTCTAGGAACTGGAACGGGTTTGAACACCAGCAGCTACTTTGTATTGTTGCTTTTGGCTTCCGCTGCGGTGGGTTTTCAGGAGTAAAGAAGTCGCGTGTTCCAAAGCCGGTTTAATGGCTTCCAGCCACACAGAGGTGTTGGAAAAGTTCAAAGCGGGGGCGATGATCACTGCGTTGAGAGTCCACCCTTTTTTTTTTGCTCCTTTGCTTTGACAATCCTCCCAAAACCAAAGTCTGCGTTTTTCACAAAGCTCATCACCACCAAGTGACCTATTTCCCCCCCCCGCCCCCCCCCCCCCCCCACAAATGGGGACACAGTGCCCCCAATGGGAATGAGGGGAGGCAAAGGGGATTGTTCTCCCCGAGGTGGATCATTTAAGGGGGTGGGAGGAAGGAAAAAAGTAAGTGATATTGACAGTTGCCCCCCCCCCCCTCCTAACCAGGCGTCTTGTCTGAGCTTATTTGCCTTGTCTCTCTGTGGTGATGACCAAATGTACTTGCAGCCCATCTGACCTGGTTTCAATGTAATCAGCGTGCCGGAATGTCTCGACCTGAGACTGAACAGGCAATCAGACCGGACATTTCGCCGGCCCACCCAGTGCAGGTGCTGTTTTAGAATCTGGTATTACCAGCGAGATGTTCGATGACCAAAAATGGCAGCTAGAAAGAAATTGATCTGTTGCACAAACCCGTGTGAACGTATTTGGACAAAAGACTGTATTTTTAAAATAGCTGTTTTTGCATAATGAGCAGTTATCTTTCGTTTATAATTTATTCCAGTGGTTTTGTTGAGGCATGTGCTGCTTGGTTTCCATGGCTAGACTTGTGGCCTACATGCTTGTCATTCCATAGTAAAGCACCAGAGGTCTGTGGCCTGTCAGATGGGATGATGGCTGCTCACCACAAGCATATTTGATCTCCTCATCACCTCCAGTCTTCTCCTCCTTTTTGTCTGCTTTTGCTTCTCTTTTCTTTTTTTATTCTCTACAGATTTAATTTCTTTTGCTCTCCTCTCCTCTCATTCCTCCTCAGGGACGAGAACAGCCTCCAAAGACGTGAACCAGTGGAAACACGGTGAAGAGACAAATCAGTTTTTAACACAGCCTTAATCCTTCTCCGGAGGAGGTGTAATATTCTCACATAGAACGGTACATTTAAGGCAAGCGACGTAATATATATTACTGTTGTGCTGTAAAGCTTTATTGAACAACAGAATCTTGTTTCATCGATGAACAAAATCTGACAATAATATGGGACCTCTCCATGTGTACGTTAGAAACCCTCAGCTACAAATATGGAAAAAAAAAAGGACTGTGGTGCACATCGACCTTAAGCACTTCTTTCTCCCTGTAATCGACAACTGTGATAGTCCGCCGTGGTGTACGTCTGTGCTACACCGCCTCATAGCTGGTCCTCAGCCCCCATCCTGCTCCGCAGCAAGGCCCCTGAGGTGGCCGCATATTTGTTGGGTGAGTAAGGAATGCGGTCACATGCCTTAGACATTAGCTATGACGGAGCACTGGCTCCACGAGAGAGGGAGGGTGCAAGAGAGGGAGGGTGCAAGGGAGGGAGGGTAGAGTCTGAGCTCACGGCAAGTGAGCTCATTTCAACCCTCCCCCCCCCCCCCAGCTTGAGGAGAGAGTGCGGCTCTGTCATCCTCTTTGCTGAGAGAGAGAGCGAGGGGAGGAGGAGGGAGGCAGAGAGGGAGGAGTGTCAGCCAGCGGCTGAGCGAATGGGAGACGGGGAGAGTGAAGCAGCACAACAATAGTTGGCTGCTCCTGTGGCTGTGGACTCAGAGACAGAGCGAGCGCTCAGAGGGACACACAGGCGCTCTGTAAACCAGCTGCAGGCGCATTACAGCTGTGCTTTTACGCACAGGCTCACTTACTTTTGGTTCATCCTCTTCCTGCTCTTTGTCTTTATAAAAGCACAGAATTGCTGAATCTGACACGGCAGCATTTTAGAAATAGGTTTTGGTCATTTTGGTCTTTTTTTTTTTTGCCATCTGTGAACTTGAGGAGCCCGCAGACATTTCGGACTAGTTTTTTTGTCTCACAGGGTCGGTTCTCAGAGGTCTGTTGTTCAGACGCCGCAGCCGCTGACCCGTGGCGGACTTGAACTTCAGCAAGAGTTTGGTCAACTTGGGACGGTCACACATTCCGACTCTGGGCTCTCACCTCAGTCGGCCCAAGAGGAGAAAACCTCTGTTGGTTCGTTCGGACATTTCCTTGCGTGGAAAGGGGCTCACGCCATCCCCGAAAAAAGGGGGACCAGAACATTTCCATTTGTGTGTGTGTGTGTGTGTGTGTGTGCGCGCGCCAGTGTTTTTTATGTGAGTGTGCGGGCGACAGAGTGTGTACTGGGGGATGCCTTTGGATGTGGTGATTGCCCCAGCGGAGGACTGCTTTTGGCCGGACCGGCCGGACACAGACATGAGGCTGAAGATCAGAGTTCGCCGGATGAAAGCGGGGAGAGAGCTAAGAGGTGTGTATCCACCTTGACATGGACCAGGAGAATCGGTGTGTGTGTGTGTGTGTGTGTGTGTGTGTGTGTGTGTGTGTGTGCTTTGAGAACATCCCTTTCTGGCTAGTAACGTGTCGCGGCCGTAGGCCTTTGTGTACAAAGCAGAGGCATCACACATAGTGAACATGCAAAGAACATGGGGTCTGATTTGATACAATACAAGCACCAGTCTCTGGGTTACGAGGCTTTTAAATGCATCACAGTGGTGTACAGTCCAAGGTGTGTGTACGAGGGCGGAAGCACCGATAACTGCAGAGGAGCACAAAGGAACAGTGGGCTCCCAGGTAATGAGGTATTCCAGTCCACGCATGCTGCGAATCAAAGACGGATGTGATTAGACTTTTAAGGACGTCTAGTGGATCTATGGTGAGATGCACACGGATAAACCCGCTAATTGTTTTCCCACCTTTTTGTTTGTGTTTTTTTTCCAGTTAATGTGTTTAGAGAGAATCAATAGGAAGAAGTGGGATTAAGCCGATGCAATTATAGAGACTAAAAGCAATGAAGAGGAAAGCGCTGGGAGGTGTGTGGGTGGGGGGGGGGTAGAGCCGTGACCTGCGGTATGACATAGTGCTCATGCTCCCTCAGCCTGTGGTCATTGAGATGTAAAACCATCACAAAGGCTCATTCCGTTTCTCTTTCTTCTCCATGCTCTTGGCTTTTTGTCTCACCCGTGCTCACCCGTGCTCACCCTCGCTCTCCCTTTCTCTCTGCAGAAGGGTGTCTTGTGGGGATTATGTTATCAGTATGTGTGCAGTGTGCGCTCTACGTGTTTAACACAACACCTCTCTCACACGGAGCGATGAGGCAATGCAGAGCCGAGAGGCTGTGGAATCGACTCGCGTGTTGCGCAAAATGTCTCGTCGGTTGTCGAAATGCCGGTGATGTAGTCGGATCCTTTTTGGGCCATAAATGTAAAAGGGTTTGGGACCAAAGTTTGTATGCAAATGTGGACGCTACATGCATATGAGATCAGGTGGTTCAAAGCCGTTGGCATAGCAGCCCTCCACACCTGCCACACTGTTCGGTGTGTGTGTGTGTGTGTGGGGGGGATTTGTGTGTATACAAATGTGCATGTACGTCAGGGTTTGCATCTGGAAGTGCAGCAACTATTTCAGGAAGCTGGCAAAGAAATCACACATTTGCCATCAGCAGGCGCAAAAATAATTGTGTCTGTCACCAGTTATTTTGAGGCACCACACTTCCCCGTCTCTGTGGAAATAGATTACAGGAGGGTTTATAGTCCTGTGTTGCAGCAACACCGTACTGCTGAAACAGCAGTACGTCAAAGTGACATACGCCCCGTTCTCTTCCTGCAAAGATAGAGGAACAATAAACAGTCCCCCCCCCTCCTGCAGCCCGGGCGACGTGTTAATCACACAATCCCGTCATCTACCTGGCGCCCGGCCTGAAAAGAAATGACATCATCCCACCACCTCATCAAAGCTCTGTCAATCTACACATTTCTGACTCCACCCCCCCGAAAGCACACAATCACTCCTCCACAGGCTGCAGCACAGCCTTTGTCAAGCTGAGTGGGACATGTGTGCAATGATGTCATCTCGGGAGGGTGGCGGGGGGTCACATTGAGATGCTAATGTCGCCTCATAGTGGAGGGGACAGCTGGAGGGGCAATGGAGGATGGCGTCATGTCTCCCCCCGATATCAACCAGAGAGGAGAGCGATGGAGGGGTGCGGGGTGCTCATTCAGGCAGATCAATGCCCCCAAGGGTGTGGGTGTGTGTGTGTGTGTGTGTGTGTGTGCGTGTACGCTTGCCTTGTTTTTATTGCCCCCCTCCCTCCCTTCCCCCTTCCATTAACAGACGAGTTAAAGAGGACAACTGAAAGCTACACAGAGGCTGAAACACACAAACACGTGGGGGGGGGGGGGAGCTCCTCGTATTGACGAGGCAGTCAACTGCTCCAAAGGCAGTGATGTAACAGCAGAGCTCCCATTAACCATAATAGCCGTGCAGGTGTTATGTGTCTCTCTATTTTGTCCAGTCAATATCTCGCTGGGATTCCGCTCCCATTCGTCTCTCAGCTTTCTGCATCGATCGTCACCCTGGTGCAGACTTAAAAAAAAAAAAAAGCTTGAATTTGAGCCAAGTGTCTTACACCAAACACGCACTTTGCTTCCACGGGCGGGATGATCACCTGGCCTCCCAAACTGAAATGTAACTGCCCAGTCGCTGGGGAAATGATTGATGAGGAGACAGGAACCAGCACACAAAGGGGGCCCCGGTGCTCGACCGACAGGACAAGAGAGGAGAATTAGCAGTTGCATAAGTGATGAAGAGGGGAAACGGGAAAAAAAGGAAGTCGCTGCTGGCTCGCACTGCCGATGGCGACACGGTGCCCTCTCTCCCCGGGGTGTGTGTGTGTGTTTTCTTTCTACCCAAAAGATTTTCTCATTTTTTTCACAGAGTTTGTTCAAAATTGGGTCAGTTACATCCCGTCCAAGTGCAAGTACACAACGCACCACTTGCTGTAGCGCTGGGCCGAACATGTAGCCCAAATATGTAAAAGTGTGAATGTTATCTCACAACTTTAGAATTTGAAATGACATCTACATCTGTTCAATTTCAGGTTAAAAACTGTAAACTAGGACACAACCTGAGGCCAGCATGAAAACATCTCTTAAAATAACAGAGCTGTGCCACCACCCAGTTTGCTTTATCTCCTTAGTTTAAGGTTGCAGTGTGTTTCGTCTCTGCCGGTTATCGCGCCGGAGGACAACTCATCTCTCCAAGTTGACTTTCTGATGTCATCTTTACAGACAGCCGGGCTGGTGTGTGTCACAGGGTATTTTCAGTGACCTCAGTGTGAGTGTGCAGTGTGGTTATGAGTGTGCTTATATTGGAATGGACGGATGTGTCATCTTTGTCTTTTGGAGAATGTGAGGCCGTGTCTCTTTGGGTTATTTGGTGCGTGTGTGTGTTGGTCTCTCTGTTTGTGTGTTTAGCCCTTTGAATGCTCAGTGTGTGTGTGTTTCATGCCATCTTGACAGCCCTCAGGGGGACACAATGAGCCAACTGTCATCAACGTCACTGCCCCCCCCAACCTCCCCTTTCCTTGCTGTCATGGCAACTTTGAATAGGGCGGGGTCAGGTGACGAGGTGACAATAACACGCTATCTCCTGTGTGACTAACGTCCATTTGCGGCGGCTGTGTCGAGCTTTGACTACAAGGAAGGTGTCTGTAATTATGTTGACGTAATGTCACTGTAGTGTCGGAGCAGCCAGGCTCACTCGGCCCTGCTCTCTTATCTCTTGACTTCGGTCTCCCCTCTTACCAGCAACCCTCACCTTCCTTTCTGAGGTTTTGGAGGCTTGTTTAACATGAGATGATGTCAGCATCCAGTAATCACGGCTATAATGAACATACCAGACACGCACTAAAGGGTGGGGAGATTTTTTTAACTTCCCTTTAAATACACAAAAACACTTTCTCTTCAGTGTTTAACACACGCTGTGCCCACTGTGAAAACGTCCTGTCTTCTGTCCTTCTAACAACTTTCTAACAATGTCCTCGCACAGAAAGGGAAATGGTTTCTGGGTGACGTGAGGCGTTTCCTGTTGATTTAACCGTTTCCAGGAACACACCGCTTCCTTAGACTGATACAGTATACATGCCTATGGTGGGAGCTATATGTAGTACCAATTATTTACTGTGTGTGTGTGTGTGTGTGTGTGTGTGTGTGTGTGTGTGTGTGTGTGTGTGTGTGTGTGTGTGTGTGTGTGTGTGAGCGCGCGCTCCGCTCCAGCAGCTTCAAAGGACTACCCTTCCTCTTTCTGTTTTATCAATTACTGACACTGTTGTACCGCCCATTGGATCAGAAAGACTCTGCTGGAAATTGCGCAATGGTCTTAAACTAAACTGTGAACTACAAATGGCTGTTTAGTCTACAGAGGCCCAAAAGGTTCAACCCTACACACAAGCTTCTACAGCAGTCACCAGCCTATTCTTCTAAACATTAAGCTCTCCTCGTTTCTTAGTTATCAGATCACTCTTTTCTTCACGTATGCATCTGCTGTTCCCTCTACTACACCCCCCCATGTGGAGCGCTGATGTCATTGCCTTGCCAGTTGCGATTAATAGCTGGAAACGGACAACACTTAAAGGGACAGTGCACCCGTGATATCGTATAGCAGTTCACAAGCTGTGCTGTTGTGTAGTAATGCAAAAATACCAACGTGTCTGTCCTCTGAGGCCACAACTTGAATTTTGCAGCTATATGGATGTGGGGGTGTGTGTGTCTGTCTTTCTGTGTGTGTCAGCCAGACGTTGTCACACGAGTAGTGCAGCTGGTTGTGTGTTACAACCGAAGGCAATGTCGAACCTTCGCTGTGCTGCATGTGTGACTTTTGGACAGTGATGTCATGCCTCACTCACTCTCACTCTGTGCCTGTGTGTGCGCGTGTGTGTGCGTGCACGCGTTTCTGCTGCGACCCAGATTGGGTCCGGCAGGGTTGAACCAAGATTAGGTTCTAATCTACTTTCTGGGGCTCAACGTTTCCTTGAAGCACTCCGCTCCATTCTACAGAGTCTTTAGCGAGGTCATTACCCACTACACACAACACACACTGGCCCCCACCTCCTCCCGTTGGCCCCCACCCTGCAGTTACACAACCGCGGTACTCTAAAGTAATGATGTGACTGAGTGTGTGTGTGTGTGGGTCTGTGTCTGTGGTCAGGAGTGTGTGTGAGTGGACAGAGAGGTACAAAAAGGATAATTGAGCATATGTTGACTGCAAAATTATGTGATAATGTCTTCAGATTCTATCTTGTTGGAGAGTAGCATCTTGTTAACGTGTGTGCAGGCGTGTGGTGTGTGAGCGCTGCGCGGTTGTCAGGGGGATGTTACTGGGCCTCTGTCCTGGCCTTGCACCTGTGGGCTCTCTCATTCCCTGAGCCTGACGCAATGCATCGCTACAGGACATGAGCTCATGCAGGAAACAGAGCCACACACACACACACACACACAGACACATATGCCAAAAGTGGAGCCGCCTGCCTCTTAAAGGGCCAGACATACACATTCCTGGCTGCCCAGCAGCCAACCTAACTAGCACACAGAAGCACAGAGAGCCTCTTTTTTGCTCCCGTTGCACTGAGCAAGACCCAGACGTTGTAGCCCAGATTCCTCTCTGAAAGCCTGACGAGAGTCTGTTTGCTCTGCTAATGGTGTCCTTGATTGGTTCACGAGAGCCTCTGCAGAGGTCCCATGGTGTTGTGTGACTGCTCTGTGGAAAATCATTAGTGTACCTAACCGGTTCTCTCCTTCTCTTTTTTTCTCTGAAGGAGGTTTTGCTGCTTTCTCCTCCTGTTTTCCTGGCCTGTGTGAAGGGAAGCCTGCCACTGCTCTACCTATGAGCTTGTCCCAGCCCTGCTTGCCTGTGGCTAATGTAGGGCCCACCCGCATCCTGCCACACCTCTACCTGGGCTCCCAGAAGGACGTCCTCAACAAGGTAGAATCTAGTTGGCATCTGGTCGCTCACAGTATCACCAACATTGAGAGACAACTTGTTATTGTTATTGTAACCTGCCAAATAAAACATTTCCATGAGCATATTCATCTCTATCTTTCTCAGGATCTGATGGCTCAGAATGGTATTACCTATGTGCTGAATGCCAGCAACACCTGCCCAAAGCCCGACTTTATCAGCGAAAGCCACTTCATGCGCATCCCAGTCAACGACAACTACTGCGAGAAGTTGCTTCCCTGGCTGGACAAAACTAACGAATTCATAGGTATGAGGATGTGAAATGCATTGAAAACAAGAATGTGATTGGAATGAGGATAAGCAGCTCAAAGCACAAAAGCCTCTCAGGGAAGTGTCTCCATAAGGAAGTACATTCATCTCAATGAATGTGTTGAAGCATGGAATTACATTCAAAACACCATAATAACCCAATGGCGACAGGTATAACACGCCTACTCAGGGGCTCCCTGTACTCTTCCAGGAAATGTCAGTTTGATTTCAATAGCCGTTGATTGTCCCTGAACACTCTAAACTGCTAAACGTGCGTATTCATACCCGTTCGTTTCCCCCCCCCAACAGACAAAGCTAAGGTGTCAAACTGCAGAGTCATTGTGCACTGCCTGGCTGGAATCTCGCGTTCAGCAACCATCGCCATTGCATACATCATGAAGACAATGGGCTTGTCATCAGATGATGCCTACAGGTACGCTTGCTCCTCCCACCCACTACCAGCTGAGGTGTCAGCCCCAGTAAATGGACAACTAATGGTTGAAAGTAATGCTTCCGGGGGAGTTGAAATTGTTAGATGCCTGTCTGGAATCCGCGTGTGACCTAAGGCATTATCTAGACAACACTGGCGCAGACTTCCGTCTCGTGCATATACCTGTTCACACCCTACGCCTGGTTCTGACACACAGCATCTCTCATGAAATCCCACATGATTCAGACACTGACAAACCTTAGCCACAGAGTGCATCGAGACTGATCTTGGTAATAATCACTTACAATACCTCTCCCCCTTACAGGTTCGTAAAGGACCGAAGACCGTCCATTTCCCCCAACTTCAACTTCCTGGGTCAGCTTCTAGAGTTTGAGAAGGGCCTGCGATTACTGCAGGCTTTGACTTCAACCTCTGATGACAAGGTGCCCGAAAACAACGCAAAGCAAAGCTCAGAGGTGGAGATGAACGGTCACCGCGGCAATTACGACTCATCTGTGGCAGATGCCAACACCCAACCAGAACCCAAGCTGCCATCACCCACCTCCCTCCAGCAGGGCTTCAACGGCCTAAACCTCTCCGCAGAAAGGATCATGGACACTAACCGGCTTAAACGCTCCTTCTCCCTTGACATTAAGTCGGTCTACTCCCCAAACAGTCCCAGCCCTTGCCCCAGCCAGGCACCCACACACTCTGAAGACGTCCCAAAGCTGTGCAAGCTTGACAGCCCAGGAACCGGCACCTCCAATGGCGTCTGCTCTCAGTCTCCCGTCCTCGACAGCCCCAGCTCGGCTGACTCACCGTTCCCCTCACCGGGCAGCGGGGGCAGCATCGGAGGTTTGGGGCTCCGAGGAAGTGAAGGAATCCACCGCACTGGTTCTTCCTCATCGAGACCCAGGAGGAAACCCAAGCACTGCTCCGGCAGTTCCCCGGTCCACTCCCAACCTCCACAGTCCCTCAGCTTGTCGCTGGACCGCAAGAGCCCCAGCCCGGACGAGAAGCTAAAGGGCTCCCTTCTCCTTTCACTACCCTCCGTGCCCACCGCTGGGTCTGGCGCCATGTGGACCAAACACAGAGACACTGTCCAGGCCACAACTCCTGTCACTCCCACCACAGATGCCCCCTGGCACTTTGGGGCAGTGGAGGTGGGCGAGAGAGAGATGGAGCTGGGAGGAGGAGAGGAGTCGTCGGTGAGGTTTGGGAGCAGCTCGGCGTACTTGGCGTTCGGGTGCAGCGAAGGTGTGCGGTTACGAGATAAATCCCAGAGGGAGAAGCCCTTGGCACCACTGACACAGAGAGACCACCGAGACGCCATATCATCCACGGCGACCCTGTCCAACGGTCCGAACAACAGCGGGCCCGCTTTGGACAAGCAGTTCAAGCGGCGCAGCTGTCAGATGGAGTTCGAGGAGGGCATCTCTGAGACGCGATCCCGAGAAGAACTCGGAAAGATCGGGAAGCAGTCAAGCTTCTCCGGGAGCATGGAGATCATTGAGGTCTCCTGACAGATAATGGACATGATCAGAGCCGTCCCCTGGGGGTTGCAAACAAACCTGTTCAGAGGGAGGGCGAAAGGAGGACATGCGACGAAGTAGAAGAGGCTTTGGTTCTGCTCCCCTGACAGACAGTGTTAAAGACTCCTACCGAGAGAGGTAGATACGTGAGCGGAGAGTCAATGTGAAATGTAAAGGTCTTGGGGCGGGTGGGGTAAAGTAGTAGGTACTGAAACTCTTAAATCAATGAGCTCTGTCGCAGGAAAATGAAAAAAGAAACAACCCTGGACTCTTGTCATGTTGCATCCTCACTATACAGAATATCCTTAATTTGACAGAGTTTGGACACAAACTGCTTGCCTGCGGTCAAATGTATTGTTCTTTAATGGGTGTTTAGCTTGTGATTTGAACCAAGCGTCCTGTTTCCTCCCAATGCTTCACCCCAGTGTCAGAAAGCCTCAGAGCCTCGCACGACTACGTCCCCCCTTCCTCCTCCTCTTCCTCGTCCTCCTCCTCCCAGTGGCTCTGCCTGCTACCGACTCTGCATAGCAACATCAGACAACAATAACAGACTCCTTAACAGCACCGTTCTCCTCACATCACCAGAGCACAAGGCAGAGAGAGATTCCTGGGACTTCATCTTACGGCGGTGCTGTTTCCAGACAATGAAGGACCCTCAGCATTTTGTTGTTGAAAAGACTTTTCAAGACTCGTAGTGATGGCACAGTGCCCCCCCCCCCCCCCACCTCCCCCTTAAAGCACAGTGTGTCCTTCCTGACTCCGGTTCCCTTGTTTCCAGTGTTAACAGCAAGATGGGACTGAGGTTTCAGACGGGTGGCGAGGGTTTGCTTTAACGGCCCTTCAGCTCCTTTATAGACATCCGCACCCCCCTCCCACTGCTCCCAGTCACCATCTATGGTCACCACTGAGCATGCACCAGAAAGGCTGACTGCAGAAAGACAAATACTATATATACAATAGGAATATATATAGCAATTTTATTGGACTTCTAATGGACTTTTTTGTTCAGTTATAGTTTTAATTTATTGTATTGGTTCATTCTGGTAATGAGAAATAATATAATGTTTTGTGGATTTATTTCTTTTTTTCTTGTTTAAATATTATTATTTGCTGTAAGGTATTTATGAACACACACTCAAACAAATACATACATTCAACAAAATCAAGCAAGCAATACGTGCTGTTCCTTCTTTGGGGAGAGTGATGTTTGAATTTGAAATGCACCTTTCTGTTTTCTGATAACCGAGTTCGGCAACCGGATACTCTGAAGACTAAGGCTTGAGTATTGGAGGTCAGAATCTCTTAATGTGTAATTAGGGATTTGTCACAATCAAGTACTCAAGTGTTATCTAAAAACTTTGCTTGGTTGTGCAGAGGAACGAAATAGCCGCACACGCTCTGATCGCTCGTGCAAAGTAAAACATGTCAGCCAGCGTCATGATAACTTGGTTATCTATTCACAAGAGATTTACAGACGAGTGTCTTCCGCGAGCCAGCGGCAGTTCTTCATCATCATTGCGCGTTCTACCAAAGCCCAAATGACCATACACACACACACACACCCTATTCTGTATGCAGTTTGAGATATGTTCCCACGTGTAAAGCATAGGAGGCCCTTCACACCCTTTTGTTCAGTCTCAGGGGATGTTTCAGTGAGCCAAGCCCAGCACCGGGTACACACATCAGCACAGTGCATGTCCAAAAAGCTCCTCCTCTTTCCGTCTTTTTTTTTTGCTCTTATTTCTGACTTTCCAAAGCTTTAACAACCTTACAAAATGGAAAGAAAAAAAAACTGATCTCGATAAAAATGTTGCTCTCCTGTTGCAAGATAGGTATTTATTTATAACGTAAGATGTGTTTATTTTCCCTTTGACCCTTGATTAGCTTCTCTCTCTGGTGATCTCTGACCTTTGACCTTGGGCTGCAGCAGCTATAGTGCGTTCAAATAGATTCCTCCTTTTTCCCCGAGGTTCAAGCAACTTCTCCTCACCCTTCTCCCTATATTTTTAAGAAATGTTATTACAATTATTTATGACATGTAACAAAGATGATGCAGGCTGTCCCATTTGCTAAAATTCTTGTTATTGAAATATTATTATTATTATTATTATTATTATTATTACTATGTTGTGTAAATAGCAACTCATCTATGAACACTGAAGAATATAGATGAGTTTTTAAAAGAAAATCCTGATACCTTAGGCTGCTTGACGCAAAAATACCTCAGGTTCTATTGAAAGGCTTTTCCTTCCCCTGTACATGTTTTGTGAAAATGAGACAAAAATACAGACATGATAAAATACAAACTCCTCTTTGCTTCTTCTTCTTGTGTGCTTGCATGGCGGCTGATCGGGCCACTGAACAGAAACGACACATTACGACATCCCAAACGAGTCGTGGAGCCTCCCGATTGATTTTGTGTTTAACCAGCTCCACTCTGACCACAAAACGCCGCTTCATTGATTTTTTTTTTTTAGACTGTGACGAATGCTTGTCAATGCTGATGGGATGGTAAATTATGTAATATAGAGGATTAAAATTACTTTATAGATAGGCACGTCGCCCGTATTATGAAGTTTAGTACAACTTATTGGTATAATATCGTGCAATATCGTATAGTTCAAGACAAATTTACAAATACAATGTAAACATATTCTTTCAAGTAAATGAACTGAATATTCTACATTTTCATAAAGAATAAAGTATCCTTTATTAATCCCCTTGAGGAAATCCAACCCTGTGGGAGCTTTGTGCGGCTGCAGAGGCGCCCGAAGTAGAAAGATAAATGTGTGTGAGAGAGACAGACGACCAGCAGGCCAGAACGCTGCTGTTCCCTGTCTTCTCTCAGATTGACTCAACGTTTCCTCTTCTCACACTGTCACGGTGCGGATTCTTGGGGGGGGGCGTACAGATTCAATACGTTTTATTGGTTTTCTTTATGCAGAATCTGCGAGCTCTCCCGGCGTCTCGCTCTCTCGCCGTCGAACTCTCCTCCCGCTCTCCGCTACTGCATTTTAAAACCACAATACAAACAGTTAGTGTGCAATCAGCTCAGCTGAGGCCAATTGCCTCCACCTGCCACCGTTCCCTGAGCCACTCCCTTCTCCGTCCCCTCTGCAGCCGAGCCCAACCACGCCCGCCACCACACACACCAACCACACTCGACTGGTAAGGCACTGACGGAGTGCTGCTGGAGGAGCTGGTTAAACACGGGAAGGTGGTGTCCCCGTTTAAAAAACTGTCCTCAGGGTGCAAGTCACCTTTATTGAGGCATGTGGTGTCTCATAGGAGGCAACTCCACATGGTCCTCACCAAACCCCAGCGAGTGTGGGAGGGGGTGAGGGCCAGCCGGGCGGGCAGGTGGGTGAGGAGGAGAGTGTGGGATTGGGTGAGGGCCAGCCGGGCGGGCAGGTGGGTGAGGAGGAGAGTGTGGGATTGGGTGAGGGCCAGCCGGGCGGGCAGGTGGGTGAGGAGGAGAGTGTGGGATTGGGTGAGGGCGGGCAGGTGGGTGAGGGGGTGACTGTGGGGACGGGTAAGGGGGTGAGTGTGGGATTGGGTGAGGGCCAGCCGGTCGGTCAGGTGGATGAGGGGTCAGAGGGAATGAATGTCAGAGTGGATGGGGGGTTGAATGCAACCCAGCGGGCAGGTGTGTGTGACAGAGTGGAAGAGGGGATGGGGGCACTCGGTAGTGGGGGAGCTGTTCGAGGTGGAACCTCGGACAACGAGGAAGATATGGAAGAGGGGGGGGGTGGGCTTTACGGCCCCCCGCCTGAAGAGGAAGACGAGGGCCAACAGGGGAGGCTCTCGGGCAAAGAGGGGGGGGCGCAGAGGGAAGGTGGGGAGTCAGAGTCCTCTTCAGGGTGGGCCTCTAACAACAGCGTCTCCTCAGGTGGGACGGTCACCAGCAGGCACGGGGTGGGGCGGATGAAATCGTTCCTGCTGGCCACCAAGAATCAGAGAGGAGTGGAGCTGGAGGACTACTTCTCCGACTTCGCTCGCTCCGTTCAACACGGCTGCACGAAGAAGGGTGCTGCAGAATACACCCAGCGGGAGGTCCTCCGACTAAGGAAGATACACCTCAAGATCACCAGGGAAGGAGGAAATGGGACTGAGTGAGGCGTCCGACCGGCGGAGGAGGATCCCGAGCGGGAAGACGGGCCAATGAAGGAGATGCTGGAGAACGTCGGAGTCCAGATTTGCTATAGTGCTTAATTCCTGCAATTGTTTTCATGTAAAATAAAGGTTTTCTAAAAATCAAAAAATCTCGCGCTGTGTGTGTGTGTGTGTTTTCAAGGTGCCCTGAGCTCGTATTATATAGATCTGTATATCGGGTAACCAGCCCATCGACACTCTCCCCTCTGCCGTGCTGAATCTGCAATTCGATGCAGGTTTCTTGTTGCCAATGTACCTTAAACTGGCCCGAAAATAGGTTTCTTGCATATTGATCGCTGTTGTTTGGTTTCCATTCATAGCTTACTTGCCTCTTTAATTCACATCTTGCCAGAGCGTCTTTGCATTTATTCTGTTTTCAATGAAAATGCTGATTATTTACTCTGCGAAAGGTCGGAAAGTAATGAAAGAATTCCATCACAATGTCCTAAAGACACTGGACAAAGACAAAGACAAGGTGAGGCCTTCAAATGTCGTGTATTTTCTGACCAATAGTCCAAATCCAAAACATATTTGAATGTTCCAAAACAAAGAAATACAGCATATTGTGACACTTATTTTTTTAAATAATTGCGTTTTTGCTTGCTCCCTGTCCCCACAGTATGCGTGTATAGATGTGGCATGAGTGTGTAACTGTCAGCATGTGCGTGCTTCTACATGCCACATGTATGTGTGTATGCATTTGTGTGAATGTAAATAAATGTCCAAGTTTTGCGCCAGTGAAGTTCATGTAAATTGAAAGTGTGACGCATTTCAGTGTGCAAGTTTGCGTGCAGCCTGTGTGTGTGTGTGTGTGTGTGTGTGTGTGAGTGTCTTTGAGTGTGTATCCTCCATCTCACACGGGCTGATGGGTACCAGACGTATCCACGCTGCCTGGCGCCTGGTCTCCGGCCTTCTACATGGAAACAGTTAGGAACTGTTACGTCAGCACGCGATGGCGCTCTCCCTCCGCTTTTCCACTCGCACACACACATTGAAGTGTGCTCACACGCACACACATATTTTCACAGAACACGCCCACTTTCTCGTCCTACTCTTTCCTCTCTTCCTGCAGCTCCTAGCCGGGCACCACCTTCTCAAACGCACACACACACACACACACACAACGCACACACACACATCGCACACCATCATTGCTCGAAAATTGCGTCAGCGCAGCATTCCACACTTTTCCACGCATCACCGAGGACGACAGACTCCAAACTGCATTTTTTTGTCCTTTTTTTTTCCATGGAAAGCTCTTGTCCTTATATAACTATTTTGGCAGCCTGCTTGTCCTACAATTTCTGTCTGTCTGTCCGCCTCCCTCTAACCCCTCTCTCATCCCTCTCCATCTCTCACGCAAGCGGGCGCAAACCTGCCGTGCAGAGCCGAGGTGGTTCCTCTCCCCTCGGTGCCGGGCCACCAGGAGTCCTGGTACAAACACATGGGTCCAATATCCTCTTCCTGCTGCCGCCCTCGTGCAGCCAATTTGTGAGTCTGTCTTCATTTCAACGTGACTTTCAAGTCACCCCAGTGAAATGAGCTGGATAAATAAAAGCAGGCAAATCATTAGGGCGCTTTCCTGCAGCAGCAGCACCCGTGTGTGTGTGTGTGTGAGGCCTGTGGTGAGGAGGAAACCCCGGCTGGCCCTGAGGCTCAGCAGGCCTCAGGTAATCCAATTTAATGCCACAGCCACCTGCTTATTACACACGGCAGCGTTACAGCAGGACGAGAGGGGGGCGTCTAGACGGTGCAAATCCCCGGAAAAATAAAGAAAGGCTGCAAGAAAGTCATTGTTCTGAACAACCACAAAAGCGCTCACAGAAATGGGCTAAAGTCACAATCAGGGATCCGTCCGGTTATTTGACGTTCAATATCATTTCTGTCTTCGGGGGCGACGGAGCATGAAGGCGCTTAATTTGTGCACAGACACCAGAAAGTAGATGGATGAGCTTTTTGTGATTACGCAGGCAGCTGTTGTGTAACCGACTGCTGCCACCTACTGCTGGCTCCCAGTCAGACGCCGCGGCTTCCTGTCCCCCGGCGCGACGGTGAGAGCTCAGCTTCTGTTCTCAGCAACCCGCATAAAAAAATGAATGGATGTAAAATAAAAAGAGAGAAATCTACATCTAGAATCCCGTTCTGTGTGAAACGGTGAGGCCCTCCCTCTTTGCTTTTGATGAGTGGGCGTGTGTGTGTGTGTGTGTGTTCAAAGTGCTGACTAAAGCAGCTGGTGGTGCTGACATCTGTCTCTGTCTTTCTGATGGTGGAACAAACTGCAGCTCTCTCCCAACATCAGCCCTATCAGCACATCTCTGCCAGGGTCTGAAACCCCATCAATGCATTGGCACACATACACACACACACACGCACACGCGCACACACACACACACACACTGCTTCTGCCATTGTAGTCGGAAACACAGGGCATATATCCCATATCTCGGCGTCTGCACTTCCAAATACCACATCCCGGATAACCACCGGAGAAGATTTCAGGGGGGGTCGCGGCGCAGCGGACACAAGGTCAGACACGGTCTCATCACTCGGGATGGGGACAGTGTGAAAACCAGTAAGCGTTTACCCAAACTATTCAAAGACAAAGCCAGTGAGGTACGATTACAGCCCTTTGTTTAGTGTTTAAAGTTGCAATGTACGGGATTGAGTGCGTTCATATTGTAGAAAACAAGTTTTTCCTGTTTTTCTGCTTTAAATTTGAAAATCTTATAGTTAGCAGATTGAATAAGGATTTGTATTTTGAAATCAAATATACATAAAAGAGAACACCCCTTTAATCTTTGATTGAGAGCATCAAGAGCACAACATTACGTTTTTTGAAAATGGAAATGTCATTTATTTCTTTAATTTTTTTGTTTTTTTACAGCACTTATTACAACAAATCAAAAATCTACAAATACAAAATGTCTTAAATCCGACAAATTTGAAACAAAAACCAAATCTGTTCCCAGTCCAAACAACCATCCATAGGTCTGGAGTTTGAGGAGGACTTAACGAGGACATGCTGACTCGTGTGTTGCAAAGACAAAGACTGAATCTCACACGCAGCCCTGCTGACACACAGTGTGTGTGGCTGCCCTCCTGTTATCATTTCTTCTCTCCCTGCCCATGACCTCAGAGCCACATGCCAGCTATT